TTTCTTAATACTAAAAATAAATTCTTCTAGACCGATTTTGAAAAAAACATATATCATGCACACTAGTCACACATGTACATATATCATGTACACTACTCTCACATATGTTACTTTTGACCTTTTAAAAAGTTATTAAATAACAATCAAATTAATCAATTAATTCCAAGCATATCCGCCAACATAAAACGCTCCAAAATGTAGCTTCTTCAATTTTAGCGTTTCAGCCCAATCAACTGATATAAAAAACTGCCCAACCAAACACATTTTTTAGCGTTCTGATTCGGTCAAACCCGCTATTATAGCATTTTGGGCAAAAATCCTGGAAATCAAACACACCCATTATCTTTTTCATCCAGTTACACTTGTATTCTATACTTATTTACAATTTCAAACTTAGATATATTTTTTAAAAATCTCTTTTATTTTTCCATCTATAATGTCGGGCTGAAATTACTCAATGATCACCTAACTTTTTAACTTTTTTCATTGTATAGTGTATAGTAGTGATTGATTTTTAAATAGAAAAAAGTGGAATACAATAAATATACTTTTTTTTATGATATTAAATAGAACAAAGTGGAATATAATAAATATTATAGTCGCTGGTCAAAATTATAGTAATCATTTTAATAAAACGNAAAAATGTAGATGGAAATTTTAAAAATAATTGTTTTTAGAAAAATGAAATATTTGTGAGATCGTGGATAGATGTAAGATAAAAGTTCTTGGTTATATTTGATGTGACTTACTATTACAAAAACTAGTACAGAGCTCGTGCGATGCACGGGTGCACAATTTTAAGACTATTTATCCAGACTTATAATTATATACATGAATAAAGAAAAATGTACGGAATATATATAGTACGTGACCCGTGCGAAGCACGGGATATATTTATTTGGAAAATATTATATTATAAGATGCAATATTCAATAGAAGTTTATAATACGCAAGAAAATTGTACAATGTTCAATAAAAGTTTTATAATATTCAAGTGGAGTCTTAAAGTCTCTTGTACATTAAGACTACTGACAAAATAATATTTTAATCAATGAGTTTCCTTTCCTTGTAGCCAAATTGTGAATGTGATTTGAGGAGTACAACAAATCGATATATAGCTGACTTGCTTTTTTCATTGTAGTTTTTTTTTTTTTTTTTTTTTATAATGAATTTAAAGATATTCTAAAATATAGCAAAAATTAATTTTTTTATTACAATTAGGAATTTTACTAAATATAAACTCTCAATCTATGGTGTTAATCAACGTTTAAGTCTAAAAAATTAGGAATTTTTACCTCTTTTAATCAACGTTTAAGTCTAAAAAACAATAGAGTTATTATAAGTTTTTTTCTACATCTTTTAAAACATTAAATATGAGCATGTTAGGGCTAGCTTGTAAAATAATTAATATATTATCTCACTAAAATATTTATACTAATAAAAATTTAATTTTAGCATATAAATTTATCCCTTGATATCAGAGAAAGTAACAGTTTTACTTATTGTTGTTCACCATATAATATTTAATTATTATTTTATTATATAATAAAAAAGAAATATTGTTAAAAAGTGTAGTAGAAAAGTTATAAAATTATATGATTTTTTTTTTACAATATGGATTTAATATTTTTTTTATGATTTGATAATATAAATAAATCTATACTTAACTTTGACAAATAAAACAAATAAATACTTTAGTAAGTATTTAATGTATATACTAAATAGGAATATATTTGGTATAATCAAATACCAAATATAATCAAATAAGTCAAAGTGTACATTTTTATTTGGTATTTGTTTTTTTTATTATTAAAATCTTTTATTATACTTATCTTTTTAAAATAAAACAATTAAATAAATTAATTAAATAAATAAAATATTATAATACCAAAATAGTAATGACATTTAATGCAGTTGACTTTTCTGGATAGTAAATGTAGTAAATAGAATCTCCTTTTATATAAGTATAGATATGATATTATATTATGTTGTTCAAAATAGTAATACATTTATTGCATTGACTTTTCAACTTACTAAATTTCGTAAATGGTACACCTTATTATATAAGTATAGATACTAAATATACAGTGATTGATAGTTATACATTCTTTTATTAAAAAATATTGAATAATGATTGAATATTTATTTATAAATTAAGTTGATGGCATTGTAAATACATACAATATAAATAATAAGTGAGATGAATTTTCTCATTTCCATTCATCATAAAAAAAATAAAAAATACATACATTCAAGCAAGTTGATAGCATGGGGATTTTGGAGGTTGCACAAATTAAACTCACATTATTTGCGTAATTATTGAAGCAGCCTCATCACATTCACATGACATAGTTAAAATAATGTTGGAAATTAGTATTGCATAAAATAATGTTGGAAATTAGTATTGCATAAACTTATAGATATAAAACTAATTCCTTTATATAATTGTTTGCTTGTCCATCACGTGCGCTGTTTCCCCTCTGAAATCCCTAGATATTCCATGCCCATAGATGATTATAACAAATATCAAATTACAGTAAGAAATTAAGAAATAAAATATATGAAATGATAGTATGTATTTGGGGGAAAATAGGGGTTGACTCAAAAGCAATTCATTTTCTATAGGTTATGAAGTGTTCGAATCAATTGTTAACGTGTGACTAGACTTTGGTTTGAGATGTTCATAAATTGAACTGAGATATACTTTCATTTTGTTTTATTTTCTAACTGGTTGACAATGAACAAGTCAATTAGATTAATGTAATTCAAAAATAATGAATAAAAAATTGAGATATACTTTCATTTTGATTTATTTTCTAACTGGTTGACAGTTATGAACAAGTCAATTAGATTAATGTAATTCATGGATAATGAATAAAAAATTACTAGTAATACGATAGTCTCTAGTTGCAGGCCATACCAAAATCTTTTGAATATATAATATAATATGCATAGACTATATTTATTAATTGTGTGTTGTTTTTCAGAGAGAACCATATAGAAAATTCCAGAATGTTTCTAGTAAAATTAGATGGGATGTGATGAGTAGATATGGCCACGATTAGAACCAGCTTGATCGAGCCCGTTGGCCACAGACCTTGAACCGGTCCGTGGGTTTACCCGAACCAGTTAAAGTTTACATTTTTTTTCACAAATTGAATCGTTGGTATCGATTCCAAACCGGAACTGGTAATAGAATCACATTTCGGCGAATTTAAAATTTAGTTTATTATTATTATTTTTTTCTTATTTGACTGTTCAGCTCGAAACCAACGACTGGTTCTGAACCAACCCCCATATATATCCAGACCGGTTCCGATTCTCATAGAACGCGAACGCGACTTGGTGGTTTCGAACTAAAATCGACTCGGAATGAGTTTTTGCCATGTCTAGATGTGAGACTATTTGAATATTACTGAATCAATATTAAATTAAAGTATTGAATCTCACTTAAATATTTAACAAGTAAATTTGTGAAATAGCTTGTTTGGTAAAACTTTATTTGATTATTAAAAAGAATAAAAATGTTAATAATTATGAAAAAACAAAAAAAATGTTTGGATAGAGAGAATAAAAAAATAACACAATAATATCAGATTTTCAAAATAGATATAGAAGCGTCTATTTAGTATTTACCAAATGTTCATTTACAAAATACAAATACAATAAAATCTTTTAGTTAAATCGTCTTAATATAACCCACAGTAGTTATCCGCTGAAACGGTTTAGAAGGCTCATTCTTTATAATCCGACTCAACTCGGGCGAGACCCTAGCTCAAACCAACTTTTTTGTAAATATGCCGTTGAGCTCTTTAACTTAAGTCGCCAAATTCAACTTGTCATTGTTGATAAACGGGATTGAATTCATTTTAATGGTTTGTTTAATTACTAATAGCTTGAATCTACAAGTCACAAGTTCGCACTGAGCTCTTGTTTACACCTTTATGACAATCCTTACTTAGGCCCCCATTTACTTGAAGGGATGAGATATGTGGTTTTAATCCCATGAGTTATATTTTGTCTCATGAATCAGCTTTACTAAATATATAATTATTTGGACATTCAAGGGTATAATGGATATTGTACATATGATTTTTTGGACATAAAGGTCATTTTTGTGTTCGGGTAAAAATATCTCACCCTCAAGATGTGATAGAGTTATCATGTCAGTCATGATTACAAGCATATGCCCACCTGCAACATACATGACACATAAGATTTATTACAATCATGATCCCTGCTAGTAAACACAAGATAAAGTTACTTAAGAAATGTTATCCCATATTATCCTGATAAGTAAAAGAGGCAGTAAAAATTATTTTTTATTGAATCTTCAGTTAAAGGGAGTTATTTTGAATAAAGTTGATTGATTAAGACAAGGGAGATTGTAATTGAATAATATTTAAAATGTAATGATTAAAATTGATGTAAAAATATGAGATATATGCTTGGAAGTGACGTGTAATTAAAAAAGTACGTTGATGAATAGTGAATTAAAGTTAATGTGATGTACGAGAGTGATGATTGATATTATCTAATTGTATTGATAATACCCAAATTAGTGAAATTGAATTAAATTGAGTTTAATTTTTGAATTATTAAAATAAGTTAAAAAGTCCTGATCAATTATGATTGTTTACCAATCACCATAAGTGTCTAAATAACAAATATGTTTGGAATTAGATATTTTCAAACGAGTCTATTCATGAAATGAATGGGAAAAAAAGTATGGACATTAATCAATGTCTAAAGGTATTTGGACCATATTCTTGATGTGATTAAAAATCTTAAATGTACAATTCCGTAATTATATTTTTGAAATAGATTACCATTGAAAAAATATGCTTAAAAAAATATAACGAGCGTGGCCCAATAATTATGATGTGTTTACATAAATTTATGATTTTGAATAGGGAGCTCGTAATTACGAAAGTGGGAATAGGAAAAGGAATTGAAAATTCAATGCAAGTACACATCCACAATATTTATCACTGCCAATTACGATTTTTTTTAAGAAAAAAAAGAAAAAGGAAAAAGTTCAGGAAAAATAGACAATTTGACATCTATGATCTGGAGCTTGGCCTTATCAAAAAATTAATTAGTAACAAAATTCATCCCCACCAGCCATAATAATGATGGCGAGAGAAAAAATTGGCGGAACAATCCAATTAAACAAGAGCAAAGTCCGCTGTTTTATTGTCCGTTTTTCCTTTTCCTTGTCACCTTCGGATCTGTGATTTGATATGAACCAAACGAGCCTATGAAAAAGAACAGGAAAAAGAGAAAAAGAAAGAACAAAAACCCACAAAAGATCCGTTGATCCGGTGTAGGAAAAAGCAGCAAAACGGGTTTGGAAGGATTATCCGACCCGACACGGCGGACCCACTTTTCCTCTTCACCCAAAAATATCTCTTTTCCAGGTATTTTCTATGTTCATATAGGTATGTAATATGTATACACACGCACAGACACGTATACGTGCGTGTGTGTGTGTTTGTGAATAGATTTGTATTTTGTTTGTATGGTTCTGCTGAGATGAGGGTGGCTCGTGGCTGTATGTATGTATGTATTTTGTTGTCTTTAATGTGATTTGTTTGCATTTCCAAGAACTTTCTTTTAGCAATTACTCCTTTTTATTTTTCATCTCTTTTTTATTCTTGTGATGATTTACTCTGTTGAGATGAGGGTGGCTTGTGGCTTGTATGTATGTAATTTGTTGTTTTTAATATGATTAGTCTGGCTTGTATTTATGTAATTTGTTATTTTTAATATGATTAGTTGCATTTCCAAGAACTTTCTTTTAGCAATTTAGCCCTTTTTCTTTTTTTTNGATGGTGATATTAAAAATTGATTCTTTGTTGGGGGGAGAATTGTGCCACATTAGTTGGGAATTATCAGCCTTTTGATCTGGGTTATGATTTTTCTTATTTTATTCAGGCTAAGAATTGTGTTTTATTCTGTTTCTTGTCTGAAATGAAAAAGTGGATTTGTCTTGACGTTTTAGGTTGTATTGGCTCAATTGCTTTCTGAGCTTTTGATTTTTTTATACTTCCTTGATAATGATGGTTTAGTTTTCTTGTATTTTGTATGCATTGCATTGAACCAGAGCAAAACCATTAATTTCTGATCTCAGATTTGTTTATTTTTCTCTTTTGTCTTTTATTCTTAGCTTATTCTGAAAATGGCCCATATGGATCACCTGCTTTTTCTTACAACTGATGTATGAAAGTGAACATTCCAAGGTCACTATTATTATGGGCACTTTTTAAAAAATATTGAGGAAAAAGAGCATAATAAGAGGTTGTCGTTCAGATCATGCTCCCCCCAAAGTTCTGGTTTTTTTTTCCAGCTTCAAGTTTTGAATTTAAGTTTTTATGATTGAAATTTAAAAGCACGCGGCTGATAAATTTGAATCTTTCGAAACTGCCTATGCTTCAACAGTTGAGATGTCAGGTTCTTGATTTTAAAAGTGTAGCTCAAGAGAATTTTGCTCTTTTCGGTGTTTGGCAGGTCCTAGGAGAAGTGGAGATTGTAACTTATGAAACTTTAAGCTGAAAAACTTCGGCAGGATTGTAAATATTATAGCATTTTTGAAGTGTCACGGTTAGTTACTCCCGTTTGTATCTCAAATGTCAACAATGTGACTTCATTTTTTGACTTATGAAAGTTGAAATCAACGCATTTTTTTCCTTTCTTTTGTTGAAAAGAAGAAAGCTTGAAAATTTTCTCTGGTTTTTTTCTTTTTTTCTTTTTTTAGTTTTATGTGGCTGCTGAGAAGAAAAAAGTTGACAGTTTAAATTATAATCCTAATTCCTTATTGATGTTTTAATTGCATTCCAACTGTTCGAACTTTTTTGTTTACTCTTTATGTATGTACCAAGCTTCAGAAATGATAAAATCAAAAGCTGTATTAATTTGTTGCAGAGATTTTGGTACTGAGAATAATCATAATGGGTGGTTGTATATCATCATCAGCTAAACCAAGCAAACCATTCAAAACCATCAAAGTAAAGAGAAAACGGCATATTCGCACCAAAAAGCGCCACCTTTCTTCTGTCACAGATGGAAGCAGAAAAAGGAACAGTGACTCGGGGGCTCGAGTTTCAGATTTTTCAGTTAGCGAGCTTGTTCATAAAACGACTTTTTGCAGAATATCCGATGGCTCGAATTCAACGTACCATTTTTCTCAACTCCAATGGCACCACCATAGCCAAATTGATGACAATGGTATAATCTCTCTCTCTCTCTCTCTCTCTCTCTGTGATCATGCCATTTATATGGGATTAAATTCTATGTTCTCATGAATCTGTGACATGTTATAATTAGTCTTGGTGAAGAAAATTATCTAACTTGATTATTTAGAAAATTACTAGCTTGATCACTTGAATATGATTTGAATATACATATGTTACCTTGTTTATAGGAATTTGCCAAGAAGAAGCATGGTTTGATACACTCAGCATACTAGATTCCGACTCGGATGATGACTTTAGTAGTGTTCATGGAGGTAAAGAGTGTAACTTTCCTTTTTATTTTATTTTATTTATTTTCAGGTTAACATATGGATATTAAAAAAAGCAATGTTTCAAATTTTCGAAACACAAAAAAAAATAAAAAAAATTATATTGATTGTTCTCTTTATGTTTGTCGAAAAAATGAAAATCAATGCATCTACAGTAAAGTCTTATTCCATTTCACATATAGGCTCTAGAATTTTATTTTTTTTTTTTTTTAATTTTTTTTTCTTTCTAATTCTCCTCTGTTTGTTTAATACCCTGTAGAATTCTTTCCTACCATTTCGAACGGTCAAATCCTTCCTTACGAAACCTCATCACGCATTGTGGAAGACATCAAAGAATATCACGATAAGTATCTGAAAACGGACAATAATGATGAATCCAACACCAAAAGGAAGAAAAACTTGGACCGAGCCCATGTGAGTTTTAATAATAATGGATCCAAAGATGATAATAAAAACGAGCGTATGGAGAAGGCTTCAGAGAGCTTACTGAAGTCTGTTTTGCCGAAGCTCATCCCATCTGTAAGTTTCAATGATAAGAACAATGTGGGCCCACAGGCCCAAAAGAAAAACTCGGCTTTTATCCGTCTTTCTTTCAAGAGGAAATCTGTCGATGGTAGCGAAAAAAATGAAGCATGTGAGTGCCTTTTCTGGTATCAGTTGATTTTTTTTTTGGAGTAATGATGGGGATTTGTTTCTATTTATTTATATTTATATTTATTTATTTATATTTCAGGTGCATCGACAAAATATGTTTATCGCCCGAGGGCTGGACTGATGATTCCATGTTGTGCTGATGAGAAGCCGAGTTTCAGAACTTGGTCTAAGATTGAGCCCTCGACTTTTAAGCTTCGTGGGGACAATTATTTCAAGTATGATGAAATATCTTTTGGCGACAGTAAAAATATTTTCCATTTATTACGAAAATGAATCGAGGGCTTAATCTCCAAATTTGAATGAATCCTATTAAGCAATAAAAAACAAAATCTAAGTTTGAACAAGATATGGAGCTTGTGATCCTAGAAATGGTAGTCTGTAATTTCGCATAATTAAAGCTATTTGCAGCTGTGTAAATTAAAAGATTTTTTTTTATTGCAGAGACAAAAAGAAAAGCCCTGCATCAAATGCCACTCCTTACACTCCATTCGGCGTAGATTTATTCACATCTCAAAAAAAGATTAACCACATTGCGCAGCACCTTGAGCTACCGACTATAAAAGCAGAAGGGAAATTGCCTCAACTGCTAATCGTTAACATTCAGGTAATTAATTCAATTATCTGAATTTGTTCTAATACATATCTTATTATTAATTAGTAACATAACATATGATAATCATGTATTTGTGTTAATTTGTTTTTGCTAGTTGCCTACTTATCCGGCACCTATGTTTCTTGGTGATGGTGATGGTGAGGGCTTGAGCCTCGTGCTATATTTCAGACTTTCGGAAAATTTCGAGAAAGATGTATCTCCTCAATTTCAAGATAGTATCAAGGTAATATATCCGCTCAAAAAGAGTTTCTTTTTTTTTTTTTGTTAATCAAAGTTAATTTTGAAAAAAAAAAGTGGTATGTCCAGTTGATCATGAGATTTCGAGTTTATATTAAAATAATATTTTAAAATAAAATAATTAAACTTGATTTGATGTAAAAGTTGGAGGGAGATGATGTGAAGTGATAGTTAGTTAAAATTATGTGAGTGAAGGAATAGTTAACTAAAGTTGATGATGTGATGTTTAAGAATGATTGCTTGATATTATTTAATTAATATTGATAATTTTAAGTATGGTGTGGTTGAATTAAAAAGTTGAGTTAGATTTTGAGTATGAATTGAGTTTATTTATAAACAAACACACCCTTAGTTTGTGCCTCTGCAATAAGAAACATAAGTGATTTTAATTGGTGAACATCTGAATTACTTTGAACAATTTTTTTTCATTGTCACGTTGAGACGACATGAAATGAGAAAGTTACAATTTTTTTTTTTTGTTTTAATTGAAAATTGGGGCACTAATACGGATGCACGTGCGTAAATTTAATGAAATATTTTTTTATATATATCTAAAATAAGAAAATGCTATTATTTTGTGCCACAGAGATTGATCGAGGATGATATGGAGAAGGTCAAAGGATTTGCGAAGGACTCAATGGTTCCTTTTCGGGAGAGGCTGAAAATAATGGTCGGTGTTTCTAACCCTGAAGACCTCGTCTCGAATTCGACTGAAAGAAAACTTTTAAACGCTTACAATGAGAAGCCAGTTCTTTCCCGCCCTCAACACGAGTTTTATCAGGTAAGGCTTTTTACTAAAACGAATGTTGTGAAATGTGGTGAAATACGCACTAAATTAATATTCGTTTCAAATTTTGTTAAAAGAAAAATGTAATGAGTCGACCCGCCTAACGGTTAGTCTATCTCATACAAAAATTTGTACCATGGATTCTCATATATGAAACTTATATGATTTTTTCACAGGGGCCAAATTACTTCGAGATTGATCTTGATATTCATCGATTTAGCTTCATAGCAAGAAAGGGGCTTGAAGCTTTCAGAGAGCGTCTAAAAACTGGAATTCTTGATTTGGGACTAACAATCCAGGTGCATTGTTATTATTATTATTTATATCTTATAATGTTTATAAATGTAATTAAATTTATTTTATACTTTATTATTATTATTATTATTATTATTTTTTTTTTTTTTATTTTTATTT